ATTTTTGTATTGTGGTTGATTTTTAGTTTTGTGCCACTGTGATCTGAGAAGATGATATGATATCAATCTTCTTGAATTTGTGAAGACTTATTTTGTGTCCTGGCATGTGGTCTATCTTTGAGAATACCCATGTGCACTTGGGAAGAATGTGTATTCTGCTGCTTTGGGATGAAATGTCCTGTAAATATTAATGAAATCCATCCTATCCGGTGTCATTTAAGATTGCTGTTGCCTTGTTAATTTTTTGTCTTGAAGATCTATCCATTGATGACATGGGTGTTAAAATTCCCTACTATGACTGACTGCATTGCTGTCAACCTGTCCCTTAAAGCCCATCAATATTTTCTTTCTATATTTAGGTGCTCCTGTGTTTGGTGCATATGTGTTTACAAGAGTTATATCCTCTTGTTGGATTGATGCTTTTAGTATTAATGTAGTGACCTTCTTTGTCTCTTGTTATGGCGTTTGTTTTGAAATCTGTTTTGTCAGATGTGAGTATTGCTACCCAAGTTTTTGTTTGTTCTCCATTGCATAAAATATTTTTTTTCCATTTCTTTACTTTTAGTCTGTGTGTATTTTTTGTTTGGAGGTGGGTCTTTTGTAGACAGCATATATATGGCTCATGTTTTCTTACCCATTCGGCTACTCTTTGTCTTTTCATTGGAGCATTTAATCTATTTACATTTAAGGTTATTATTTATAGGGACTTACTTATTGCCATTATTTTTCTTTATATCTGTGTTCCTCACTCTCTGTTTTATTTTTCTTAAAGCAACCCTTTTAACATTTCTTGCAGTAGTGGTTTGGTGGTAATGAACTTCTTAAGCCTTTTGTTCCTCTGAGATGCTCTTTATTTTACCTTCAATTTTAAATGATAGTCTTGCCGTGGAAGTGGGATATAGACTGACAATCCCCAGAAGAGGGGGTATGGGAGAGAGATAAACCACAGAACTCATATGCATGTGTGCATGAACAATGGACATGAACAACAAAGCTGGGGACCGGGCAGGGAGGGACAGGGAGGGGGGTATCAGTGGGGGGAAAAGGAGAAACATCTGTAACAAAAATCAATCAATTAATTAATTAAAAAATAAAATAAAAATAAATAAATGATAGTCTTGCTGCACAGAGTAGTCTTGGTTGCTCGTCCTTGCTTTTCATCACTTTGAATATTTCATGCCAGTCCCTTAGGGCCTGAAGTGTTTCTGTTGACAGATCAGCCTTATGGTAGCTCCCTTGTAGGTAACTAACTGTCTCTCTCTTTTTGCCTTTAAGACTTTCTCTTTGTGTTTAATCTTTGCCATTTTAATTATGGTGTATCTTGGTATGGGTCTCTTTGGGTTCATCTTGATTGGGACTCTTTGTGCTTCCTAAACTTGTGTGACTTTTTTCTTCACCAGGTTAGGGAAGTTTTCAGCCATTATTCCTGCAAACAAGTTCTCTATCCTTTGCTCACTCTCTTCTCCCTCTGGTACCTCTATGATACATATGTTGTTACACTTGATGTTGTCCCACAGGTCCCTTCGACTTTTCTCATTTCTCTTAATTCTCTTTTATTTTTCATGCTCTTCTTGGGTGCTTACTATTATCTTGTTCTCTAATTCGATTATTTGATTCTCCATCTAACCTGCTGTTGATTCTAGTGTATTCTTCATTTCAGATATTGTAATCTTCATTTATGACTGGTTCTTTTTATGGTTTCTCAGTCCTTTTTAATGCTTACCATCTCTTTGTTTAAGTTCTCACTGAGATTATCCATTCTTTCCCTAAGGTCCTGGAGCATCCTTATAACCATTGTTTTAAATTCTCCATCTGGTTATTTGGTTGCTTCCATTTCATTTAATCTTTTGCTGAGGATTATTCTTGTTTTTTTATTTGGGGCATTTTTTTTTTTTGTCTCCTCATTCTGTTTCTCTGTGTTAAGTAGATCTCCTGTGACTCCCAAACTTGTTAGGTTGGCTTTATGGAGAAGGTGTCTGGTTGGGCAGTAGCACAGTCTTCCAGATCACCAGAGCTCCATGGTCTAGGAATGTTTCTTGTGGGTTATGGGCACACCCTTTTGTTGTTCAGTCTTGAATGCTGTTGGCCATTTCATGGGTAGAATTAGCCCTTCAGGCTAGGTGACTGTAAGGGTAAACCTTGATCACCATGTATGAGATGCTGTGGAGCCTCCCCCCCAAGGCAGAGTTGTTCCCAGCAGTGTCTGGTTCCTGGTGGAATTCCCCTTTGGGTGTCTTGCTTGTGTGGCTAGTTGGGTTGAGCTAGTTGTGTCATCTGAAGCGCACCACTGGTTGTTTTGGTTCTGGGTCAGCTAGGGTGGGGCTTAGGTTCAGTTCTATGTCAGACATTGTGAGCTACCTGTCTGGAGCTACCATGCTGTTCACTGTTTGTATTTGCATCACTGGACCTGGGTGTGCATGGAAGGGGCCAATCTGTGTATAAGGGTAGGCTTCCTCTAGCTTAAAGCTGGGGGCAGATCTGTAAAAGGACCAAGGCTCCCTGAGGTACACCTCCACCTGTCAGCTACTTCACCTCCCCCTGAGGTTACTTAGTCTTTCTCTAGAGTCTTCGAAAGAAGGACTGTGGGATGAGCCCAGGTTAGCTGTGATCCACAGCTCCTTTCCCAGGTTTGAGCTTGGTAGGGCGGGGCAACTGGTGTGGGGAGGACAGGGCTAATGGGTCCCATACTTGGAGATCACACAGTTAGGCACTCAGTGAGTTGAAAGAGGCCCCTGCTTCAAAGCCAAACCACTCAGCCTCTGCCAGAGTCTCTAATTCTAGTTCCTGCTAAAGGGACTTGCTCCAGCTTCAGATTGGGTTCCTCCAGCAGTCCCCTCTGCAGGAGCAACTTCAGCCTCCCTGGGCTTAAGGGATAGATCCAAAGAGTCTCCGTTGGGCATGTTGCTGACCCAACCACAGGAGGTGGCTAAGTGCTTCATCCAAGTTCCAGATAATAGCTTTCAGGAGTCTCATACTTTGAATTCCCTAGCTCTGAGCCACTCTCCCATCCCCTGCACAGAACTGAGTCAAACCTGGTGAGGTATCTAGGACTAGGCAACTAGGCAGGGCTGATTCAAACATTCTCTCATTGGAGGTGGTGCCTGCAGACCTGTAGAGGGGAGAGGGGCACTTCTTCCCCTTCCCAAGGTATATCGTGGTGGGGGAGAGTGGATTTGTGTTGTTCCCCCACCTCCACACTCCCAGCAATGCAGTCACACACCACAGCTCTCATCTGGTTCCCAGACAAAAGCTTCTCTGGAAGACACCATCTGAAAGTCCCAGCTCTGTGTCACTGAACTAAGCAGGATGGGGTGGCCAAGTGATTCAGGGGGTTAGGGGAGGGGCACTGGCTATACTCTCAAGACAGGGGAGACTGGCCCTCTTACCTAAGCCATACTGTTAAGTCACTTTCTGGGTCTCCTCCAGAAGCCTCCCAAGAAAAAAGAGGGCCCCTTAAAGTAATTGTTGGGTGTAGCCAGCAGACCCCTCTGCAGAATCCAAGTACAGCAGCATGGCCTTGCCAGCAGTTGGAGTTCAGATCATGCTCTCCCCAGGCTGTTGCTATAATAGTAGGAGTGCTCTTTCCTGGAAAGGTGGTTTGTGGGTCTTCCAAACAGACTCAATCCCCACTGATTTTCATCACTAGATGTTATGTGGGCTCCTCTTCCTGTCTCTGTTGCTATTGATTGGGGATCCCTGCATGGTGCTGAGACCCCACGTTCCTAGTGGGAGGGAGTTTTGCAGCCACCGTCGCACTTGAGTGTCAAAGCTAGACTTTTCTGTCTCTGCCCTTCTTATCAGTCTCTATATAGCTTCTTCTGTTGATTTTTGGTTATCACATTTCAGTTTAGCTAGTCTTCAGATGGTTATTCAGGTTCATTACTTTATAATTTAGCTGTTAATCTGGTTTGGGGCCAGGAGCAAGTTTGGTGCAGCTTCCACAAACTCTGCAGCCATCTTGGAATCCAAAGAGCAAGAGATTTTCATTTCAGAAATGAAAACCCAAACTGATTGGCTTCATAGCATACTCAAAATAAATACAGAAATAGCCACTTGTTTACAAGAAAAGGCTAAAAAGAAAAGGACAGACAGCCAGAGGAAAGTCATGATTTGAGGAAAGAAAATCTTAAAAGACAGAATTTAGCCCTGGACAGTTTTGCTCAGTGCTTAGAACGTTGGCCCTTGGACCAAAGAGTCTCAGGTTTGATTCTGGTCAAGGGCATGTACCTCGGTTGTGGTTCGATTCCCGGCCCTGGTTGGGGTCCTGTGGGAGGCAACCAATCGATGTATCTCTCTCACATCAACGTTTCTCTCTCTCTCTCTCCCTCACCCTCCCTTTCCTCCCATCCACTCTGTCTGAAAAATCAATGGAAAAATATCCTCCGGTGAGGATTAAAAATAAAAATTTTAAAAACACAATTTAAAGTTGAACAGAGAGTAGTACTTATGTCTTGTAATAAGATATATGCCCATTCATGAAGCTTTTATGAATGCCAGTTTTTCCTTAACATAGAATGGCAAAAAGAGAGAGGAACATCAATTTAACATGCTTCAGTATTGCCCTGGCCAGTTTGGCTCAGCGGTTAGAGCGTCGGCCTGCGGTCCGGAGAGACCCAGGTTCGGTTCCCGCTAAGGGCATGTACCTCGGTTGCAGTTTGTCCCCGGCTCTGGTTGGTCGTGCGGGTGGCAGCCACTCGATGTGTCCCTTTCACGTCGATGTTTCTCTCTCTCTCTCTCGTCCTCTCTCTCCCTCCCACTCTATCTGTACAAAAAATGGAAAAATGTCCTCGGGTGAGGATAAAAAAAAAAAAAAACATGCTTCAGTATTTTATGTAAGGTTAATGCTCAAGACATGATTATTAAGAAGTATATGACTCTTTAGACTATAAGATGAAATTCTGTTTGTTTATTTTTGTAACTTTTAATGTATATAGCCAGACCTGTGGAATCACATTTATTATTGGCATTGCATATTAATTCTGTAATTATTACAATTATAGATTTATCTAAGTGGATTTCTTCCAAAGCATGATGCAGACCACTCTCTCACAAGTCTTTCAACCCCAGAAAGGAGTCTCATTTTTATAAACAGTCGACCAGTACACCAAAAAGACATATTAAAGGTAATCTATTAAAGAAAAATGTATCACTTGGGTCAGAAATAAAAACTGTCATTTGTCAACTTGTTACAAGGATTACTTCTAAGATTTTGTTCTAAAATAAGGAAAAAGAGAACAAGGGATAAAATAGCATTTATTAAGCATTGTTCTAGCATCTTGCATATGATGTCTGATTGACTCTTCACAACTATGTGATATATTATTTTCCTTATTTATGAAGAAAAAAACTGAAATGTTAGTGACTTTCTTGACCACATAGCCAGGAAGTAACAGAATTTGAATTTGAACTCTGGACTTTGACACTATGATCTTTAACTATGAAACCAGTTGCATTGGATATTTGTACTTCTTGATGATTGCCTGTACTTCATTCATATAGGTTCAAGGCCTCTACTAAGTGTTACTATTTAGATACTGCTTTTCCAAATAAAACAGTTACTTCCACTCAGTTGAATATATACTCCTTTTGGTGGTATTTTAAGGATGATAATATATATTTATGTGTCATCTTTTTTGTCTTTTATTCATTATATATATATTTCTAGTTAATCCGGCGTTACTACAATCTGAAGTGCCTAAAGGAATCTACTCGTTTGTATCCTATTTTCTTTCTGAAAATTGATGTTCCTACAGCTGATGTGGATGTAAATTTAACACCAGATAAAAGTCAAATATTATTGCAGAATAAGGTAACCTTTTTTAGATAATTTTTAAATGTTATGCTATTTATAAACGTATACATTCCTAACCATTTACATGTGACAAAGGAGATTTGCTGATTTATACATATTTTAAATATTATTTTAAATCTTGTCTGTTTATTGTTTTTATAATATCTTCTAACATTTATTCATTTGTATTTTTTAGGAATCTGTTTTAATTGCTCTTGAAAATCTAATGACGACTTGTTACGGATCACTACCTAGTACACATTCTTATGAAAATAATAAAACAGATGTTTCCTCAGCTGGCATGGTTGTTAGTAAAACAGCAGAAACAGATGTTCTTTTTAATAAGATGGAATCATCTGGAAGTAATTATCCAAATGTTAATACTTCGAGCATTTCTTTCCAAAATGATGTGCATAATGATAAATCTAGAGAAAATAATAATTGTTTAAATCATCATACACTCGTTGGTGACCATTATGATGATCATTTTATTATAGAAAATTCTAGCATTGATAAGAATACTAAAAATACATTGCAGGAGATCCCGGTGAATAATGTATCATGTGAGGAAACCCAGAAGGAATATAGTGAAACTTGTTTTGTAGATTCTGTTAAGCGTGCCCAATCAGAAAATGGCAATAAAGGCCATATAGATGAAAGTGGGGAAAATGAAAAAGAAGCAGTTCCTGAGAAGTCTTTGGAAATTTGTGCAGATGACTGGAGCAAGGGAAATGCACTCAAAAATTCAATGGGAGAAAACATTGAACCTGTGAAAATTTTTGTGCCTCAAGAAAGTTCAGCATGTAAAGTAAATGAGAATGATCCAAGCTCTGAACAAAACAATCTCAAGGAAGGTTCTTATAACAAAAAATCAAATGTGATAGATAACAAATCAGGACAGCTTACCGCTTATGATTTAATTAGCAAGCATGTTATCAAGAAGCCCATGTCAGCAAGTGCCCTTTTCGTTCAAGATCATCGTGTTCAGTTTCTCACAGGAAATTCTAAGGCCAGTTTGGAGGATGCAACAACACAAATTGAAGAACTGTGGAAGACATTGAGTAAAGAGGAAAAACTGAAGTAAGTTTCCAGAGATTGCATGTGACCTGAATGTTCATATACTTCCATCCACTGGGTTAAAAAAAATTTTTAGCTTCTTATTTATGAAAAAGCAGAATGGAAAATGCCTCTTGGCTTGGCTTAAGTACCTTTTTGGGCATCACTTTTTTTTGTCAGAGGTTTTTAGTTTTGTTGTTTTGGTACAAGCCTTAACTATTTGTTTAAACATTATAACATTGTTGCAGATTCAATTTAGTGGTGTTAATGCTGTCTCTATTCAGTATAACTCAGTAGGTTTTTTGGTAGGTAAATAGGCTGTTTGATCTCTGATTAAAATAGCTACATATTACTTACCATTTTTAGGTCAAATGATCTGAATAAATATTCTCAGATAATATGATGGTTGTTTCTACATGATTTAGAGCACTTACTGTAAACACAAAATATGTGTGAACTAGCCTGCCAGAAAATGAAAGGGTAGAATTGTACTTTCAATCACATATTATTATCTAAGCCATCTCAATTCTGTAAAACAACAAAAGGAAAAACTTTAATGTAACCTACCATCCAGATCTTAAAGCTATACGTGGATACTTGACCAATTTTTTTCATTAACTTATCTGGTCTTATAATAAAGACCACTATTAATAAAGACCACTATTAATACCAATAGGCAAAATCTCCATAAATTAACTTCTCTTCACTTTTTTTTTGGTGGGGAAGGTCATCATGTTTTGTTCTTTTTTGAAATATACACAAAAGTCAACAAAACAGTACAGTGAACTCATCACCTTGTTTTATCACCATCATCTGGTCAGTCCTACTTCATTCATACCTCCACTCACTTCTTCCTCTTCTTTATCATTATTATTCTGAAGAAAATCCTAGGATAATATCTAATTCATAAATATTATAGTATGTATCTGTAAAAAATAAAGATACTCTTATTTTAAATATAACCATAATACAATTTTCATAACTTTTTAAAACAGGAATTCCTTAATATCATCAAAAATTTAATATTTAGATTTTTTATTATTTTTGTAAACATCTGATTTTTTAAAGTTTGTCACACGTGATTATCTTTAGTTTTACCTAAGTGATACAACTATGCAGTTATAGATGAGTGCACTTAACTTTTAGTACAGCAAATCCACAAAAGTGAATTCCATTGGCCAGGGAGGTAATAAAGTGATAGCTGTTTGAGAATAGAAAAATAAAAGCATAGATATTTCCAGTTCTCATCAAAGTAGAGACAGACAGTGTAACAGCTTAAGATAGCTATTCCCTTGCAGCCTCACAATAGCAAGTATCATTTTAGTTTTGGGGAATGTCAGCATTGTTTCTCCTTGTAGGACTCAATTGTTAGGGTACAAGGATTATGGTTAGTAGTTCTCATCTAAAAGTTTTGTCTTGAGGCAGTATTCTGGAATCCAAAATTTTTTCTATCTTACTGCCATAAGGCACACAAGAAATGGTATTGGTCAAAAGCAGACCTCTGAAGCTATGCTTTCATTCTAACCTGTTTCTCTCTTTGCTAGCTTTTTGTAAAAATGTGTGGACAGTATCTCCTAGATAGTTGTGAAATTTAAATAAGGTATTGTGTGTTATGCTACAAGATAAATGACTGGTACACACTGAATGACTGTCCATGATATTAATCAGATTTTTAATCTGTGAAAGAAATTTCTCTGTTATGATTGACATTATTTTTCATTTGCTTAATTAATATTAAATTTAATCTGCAGGCCAGAAATAGAAATCTGTGAAGGAAATATAGGTATCTTGAGATCAAAAAGCTTACGCTATATCACAAAGTACTGTATTAGAATTTTCCTGAGCCAGCAGTCTTGGGACTATGATCGGTGTCCAAAATCATGATTAGTGAGATGGTGGAACAAAAATATCACTCTAATTACACTAACTACCACTTCTCTTCTAGTCTTTATTTTGGAATTTTATCCATGATTCTAGATTCTACAAGGAGTACTAAGGGATATGAGAATAGACTTCTCTTCCACAGATAACCATTCTTTTCATTCATCCTTTTTTCTTCTTTTCCTGTTTTTCTTCCTGTTTCTTTCTCTTCCTTCTTCTCTCCCTTTTTTTCTTTCTTCCTTTCCTCCTTTCCTGGCCCTTTCCCTCACTCCCTTCCGTTCTTCCTACTTTCTTTCCCTAAATTAGGGAGTATATATTGAGGGCATTCTGTGTACAAGGTCCTAGGTACTCTAGCTAGTAGCTTCAGTATTATATAGATATATTATTTATATAATCATAAGTAAGCATTTTCTACTTATAAATGTTACAGTTTAGGGGGGAAGATAATTTAAAAATAATAATCATAGAATGTGATGAATTTTAAAACTTTAAAAATGTAGGGAATTATGAAAACACTTAGCAGTTGGTCTTAATCTCATCTATGGAACAGGAATTGCTTCTCTAAAAAAAATAGAATAGTAATTAATCAGAAAGGTGTAGGGAATTTTCTAGATAGAAGGAATAGCATGTAAGAAGGCCCAGAAAGTAGAAGCAAAATGTTGTTATTTGGGAACTGAAAGATGCCCTCTATGATAGGAATTGAATATATGGAAGTGTGGTAAAGAAAGATGGGGAAGAGCAGGCCAGATCATGTAAGCCATAACAGAGTTTGAAAAAGCACTAGAGTCAGGTATTTATGCTGAAATCTTAAGACAGGCTGTGGAGTAGGAGTATTTTTATTTTTCAGTTCTTCCTTTCTGGTCCGCTCCTCCTCCCCCCCCCCCCCCCCCACACACACACACACTTTCTTTTCTTCTCCTTTAGTAGATTAGAATCCAGATTTAGGCATGTGCCCTGCCACTGGGGTCTCAGTCATTTGATGTTAACTTGAACTTTCATTTGCAGTAGGTATGAACATATTTCTACTTAAAATAGCCAAGAATTAATTATAATTGGGGTATTATTGAAAATGGTAAATAAACTTTGTAACTACATGTAATCTTTAGTCACAAAAACATTTCAATTGGTTACTGGTCAAATCAGAATTAATATTTTTCCATTCAAGTTAGTAAATCTCTTAATGACATTAAGTCAAAGGTAGCAGCTGTTTTTACTTAACATTTACTTAATATACCTTTGCACATAACTTTTTATATTTCTCAAGAAACTAATGAAAATGACTTCTTGAGTAAGGCAAATGATTAGTACCATATGGGAAAATTTGCACTTTATAATTAATTACATATGGTGACCTTCATCTTGAATTCATTTTCTACCATACAGGAAATCTTGAACTTAAATGTCCAGCGGCTAAAAATACTTAATTGTAGTAATATTGAAAGTAAATTAATCATGTGTTTTATATAGCTAATTCAGAAAATCAGATTCTAAGTAGAAATGAGAGGAAAATGTAAAGAATTATGAATATGACACGGTGAATAACCAAAAGTGGCATTTTTTATCTAGTTTACAGAGAAACAAGGTCTTTCTTTATTCTCACCCAGCTAACATTTCTTTATTTAACAAATGTGTACTAAGTGCAAACCACACAACATACAATGGTCTTTTGTCTCTTAATTTCACTTTTAACATTTAATCCAGTCTCCCAATAATATCTTTTTTATTTCCTAATACAAATCTATTTTTAGTTCTTCTTTAAAATGTTTCATTTACATTACCTATAGTAGAATTCAGCCAGTTTCTTAAAACTGGCGATAACATTCTCTAGTCTCAAATTTAAAACTTAATTTTTAAAAATTAGCAATATTGCTTAAATAATTAATCATTAGTGAAATTGTGTTCCCTTTTCATTGTTTCTTGATAAAAAATAATAGTAGCAAATGTTACCATTCACTATATGCCAAGTACTATTCCACTATGAAGTAGCTGTAGATTATCCATACTGAGGCACAGAAAAATGGAATAATTTGCCAAGGTTTGCAGAGCTACTAAGGGGCAGAGCGAGGCAGTCTGTCTCAATGGTCTGTGCTCTTAGGCACTACACTTTCTGAACACAATAATAGTAGTTTTAAAATTCTGGATATGCATTAGAATCACCCATGGCACTCTTTAAAGAACCCTGGACGATTTTGCTCAGTAGTTAGAGCATGTGGACCAGTGAGTCAAGGGTTTGATTCCAGTCAAGGGCACATGCCTCGGTTGCGGTTCGTCCCCAGACCTGGTTGGGTCATACGGGAGGTGACCAGTCGATGTGCCCTTCTCACTTCGATGTTTCTGTCTCCCTTCCTCCCACTCTATCTGAAGATAAATAGAAAAATGTTCTCAGGTGGGGACTGGGAAAAAAAAAAAAAACAGTACTGCCTGACCTCAGCTTAGTCCTGGAGAAATAGAAACAGAGTGGGACCTGGATATCTCAATTTTGTGAAAAGGGTTGATAAAACAATTATGCTAGAACCCAGTAAAATTTGTAAATGTTCATTATTTTGTACCTTTGAAATTAAATTAGATAGATGGTTTGGATTTGTTCATTTTATTTGAATACTTTTTTTCATTGATGACTAAAATGGGAAATAAGTAGCAACTGAAAGAATAAATGTTTAGCTATGAAACCATTATAAATTTAATAATTTTTATTTTGCATGTTATTATAGTGACTTTAATTTTACTAGTATCTATTTAATAAATAGAATATTAATGAGTGTAAATTTTCTTTGTAGTGCTCAGGGAATTATTTATTCTATGTTGATGTTATAGCAAGTATAAGCAACTCTTCAGATCTGGGATTGACTATTTGTCTTTTTTGTTGATTTTTTTAGTGCCTGTGCCTTCAGTGCTTTCTTAAATGGTTTTAAAATTGGGTAAAATTTAGTTGTTATGAAATGCATAGATCTTAACCATATATATAGTTCAATGTATTTTCATTTGTGTACAACCATGTGACCACCACCCCAAAATATAGAACATTTCCATCACCCCAGAAAGTTCTCTCATGCCACTCACCAGCCAATTTCCATACGCAGCCACTGTTTTGATTTCCATCACACTAGCTTGCTTTTGCCAGTACCTGAGCTTCATATATATAAAATCATATGTACTTTTTTTTTTTATTGTCACTCGAGGACATTTTTCCATTTTTTTGTTCAGATAGAGTACAAAGGAGAGAGAGGGGGAGAGAGAGAGAGAGAGAGAGAGAGAAACATCGACATGAAAGGGACACATCGAGTGGCTGCCTCTCGCACAACCCAGCCAGAGCCAGGGACAAACTACAACCAAGATACGTGCCCTTAGCGGGAACCGAACCCAGGTCTCTCTGGACCACAGGCCAATGCTCTAACTGCTGAGCCAAACCGACCAGGGCCATATATACTTTTATACCCTGAATCATCTCCTCAACAAAATATTTTAGTGATTTTCATAATATTTGTTGAATGTATCTATATAGTTCATTTTTAGTCTATTATACTCAATTGTATAAATATACAGTTATGCACTGTATAATGATGGGGATATATTCTCAGAAATGTGTTGTTGGGTGATTTTGTTGCTGTGCAGACATCATAGTGTGTACCTTCACAAACGTAGTTGGTATAGCCTACTACACACATACCTAGTTTCTGTGGTACAGCCTATTGTTTCTAGGCCACAAACGTATACAGCATGTCACTCTACTGAATACCGTAGACAAGTGTAACACAGTGGTAAGTATTTGTGAATCTAAACATATTTAAACAAAGAAAAGGTACAGTAAAAATATGGTATACAAGATTAAAAGTGGTAACTCTGTATAGGGCACCTACCGTGAATGGTGCTCTGAGTAAGTCAGTAAGTGGTGAGTGAATGTGAAGGCCTAGGACATTACTGTACACTACTGTAGATTTTATAAACACTGGAGATTTAGGCTACACTAAATTTATAAAACATGAGATTAAATCAAGCACAAAAGAAAATGATGGAAGAGACTTGATAAACAAGATGTAAGAGGCTGCTGCCAGCATAACATGGCATACTGTTTTACAGCAAACTTTTTTTGTAAGAAAGAGTACACTCTAAAATAATGATAAAAAATATACTATAAATACATAAATGTTTACTTTCAAAATGTCTGTGTCTTTAAAGTGTAACTCTTGTAGACACACAGCTGGATTTTGCTTTTTAAATTCAGTCTGACAATCTGCCTTTAATTGTAATGTTTAATCTATGTAATGTAATGACTGACATGGTTGAGTTTAGGTCTACCATTTTCTTTTGTTCGTCTCATCTCTGTTTTGTTCCTCTGTTCCTTCTTTTTTAGGGAAACAGCCTTCTTCAGGTTAAATATAATTTAACTTTAATTCCTCTATTGGCTTTGCATTAGTTTTTGCTTTGAGGAATATTTTATACATCCTTAATTTATGATAATCTACTTAGAGTTAATGGTATATCATTTCACACAAATCCAGGGTGGGTCAAAAGTAGGTTGTGAGGCCCTGGTCAGTTTGGCTCAGCGGTTGGAGTATTGGCCTGCAGACCAGAGAGTCCTGGGTTCAGTTTCTGCTAGGGGCATGTACCAAAAAAAATAAAAGTAGGTTGTGAGTATGTAAAACATAGAGTTTATTCTATTTTTGTTGTTGTTAATCCTCACCCAAGGATAGTTTTCCATTGATTTTTAGGTAGGGTGGAAGGGAGGGAGGGAGGAGAAGAGGGGGAGGAACATCGATGTGAGAGAGACAACACCATTTGCTGACCACAGGGATTGAACCTCTAACCCTTTGGTCCATGGGCTGATGCTCTAACCACTGAGCCAAACAAACCAGGGCCAGAGTTTATTCTTGTATTATTATTTATTGTTTTATTTTCCATATGAACTGTAAACCTTTTGTTCCACCCTGTATAAAAACTTTGCAAGTATAATTTAAAGTTATCTTTCAAAAATAAGAGAATTTTATAAAAAGATCATTATTTCTATTTACCTACATAGTTACCATTTCTGGTGTTCATTGTTTCTGAGTTTCAATTTGGTGTCATTCCTTAATAGTGCAGTGGTGCTGATAACAGATTCTCAACTTTTTTTTATCTGAAAAATGTATAATTTTATTGTTGTGGGGTTTTTTTGTGTGTGTTGTTTGGTAATAATGTTTTTGTATTTTTTCTCTGACTGCTTTCAGGATTTTATCTTCACCTTTGATTTTCAGAAGTTAGGATTATAATATATTTAGCTGTGGATTTCTTTGCATTTATCCTGCTTGGGGTTTATAGACCTTGGATGTGTAAAATGTTGTATGTCCAAATTGGTTAAATGTCAGCCATAATTTCATTTCTTTAAATGTTTTTCCTCCTCACTCTTATTGTTTATCTGGAGCTCCAGTTACTTATATGCTGAGTCGATGATGGTGCCATAAGTCACTATGGTGATTTTTCGATCATTATTCTCTCTGTTGTTTCAGATTGGGTAATTTCTATTGATCTACATTCTGTTTTACTGACCCTTGCTTTTTGCCATCTCTGATCTGCTGTTAAGCCTACCCAGTGAATTTTTTACTTTAGATATTGTGTTTCTTAGTTCTAGAATTTCCATTTCCATCTGGTCCTTTCTATCATTGACTTTCTCTGTTGAGATACCCTCTTCCATTCTTTCATTATGATCATCTTTTCTTAACTACTTAATTATTTATAAACACCTATTTTTATTTATTTATTTATTTTGTAATCCAACATCTGAGTCATTTTGAGGTTGGTTTCTACTGACCACTTTTGCTCTCTTTTTTTTTTTTTTTTTTTGGCAGTATGTGCCTCTAGCAGGAACCGAACCTGGGACTCTGGTCCGCAGGCCGACGCTCAACTGCTGAGCCAAACTGGCCAGGGCTGACCACTTTTCTCTTGACCGTGACTCCTATTTTCCTGTTTTATTCCTTGAGTGATAGTCTTTTATTGTATAATTGATACTGTGGCTGATATGTTGTAGAAACTCTGGATTCTGTTTTCTTCTGAAACGTGTTGGTTCAGGCATTTAAATTACTGACAGATTACCTTGAGCTTGTGGGCTTTGTTTTACACTTCGTTAGGGAGAGTAAATTTTGCCTTGGGTCCTAGGGCAGCTTCCATAGTTATAGGACTGTTTTTGTTTTGTTTTTCTTATCCCTAAGGTGTGGTCCTCCTTCCATTTAAATTGAAAGCCCAAAGTGTTTACTGTGCCATCTAATTCTGTGGAATTCAAACTCTAAAATCTTTTTCTCACCTCAATGAGTAGCCACTGAAATCTCTGTTTAGCTCATTTAGCCTTCTAACGATTGTTTTCCTCTGGGTTCCCACACGTGGGATTTTCTCCCTCAGCTTTCAGTTGTTTTGAAGCAAGGAGCAAGCTCTGTGTTCTGACTCAAGCTCGTAAGAGTACAGCTTTCTGACTGAATTTTTGCTTCTCCCCTTAATGCTGGGAACTGCTCTCTGGGGGCTGTATAAATGTGGTTTCTCTTTATTCAGGGGTTGAATCAAATACAATTTCTGCCTGCTTTTGGTCGTTTTTCAGTGCCTATTTTAAATGGTTATCTATATTTTGTTCATATATGGGAGGGATAGTTAATAGACGTGGAATGTCAGCTTTGTTTTTTATAAAATTTATTTCAGATGGTTAATATATTTCTTATTATGAACTCATTAGTTCTGTTGTATCTCTATAGATATGAAGAAAGGGCCACTAAAGACTTGGAACGATACAATAGGCAAATCAAGAGAGCCACTGAACAGGAGTCACAGATATCATTACAAGATGGCAGAAAAAAGATAAAACCCATAAGCTCATGGAATTTGGCACAGAAGCACAAGTTGAAAACGTCATTGTCTAATCAGCCAAAACTTGATGAACTTTTTCAGTCCCAAATTGAAAAAAAAAAGAACCAAAACATTAAAACAGTTCAAATTCACTTTTCTATGGAAAACTTCAAAAAAAATTTTGAGAAACCCAAGAAATTTGAAGTAGAAGAAAAAGATGAACTTTGTTTGATCCACAATCTCAAGTTTCCTGATGCATGGTTAATTACATCCAAAACAGAGGTAATGTTATTAAATCCATATAGAGTGGAAGAAGCCCTGCTATTTAAAAGACTTCTTGAGAATCATAAACTTCCTGCAGAACCACTGGAAAAACCAATTGTATTAACAGACAGGTATGGTGAAGTAATATAATATTTTTTACTCTAAAAACATTTATTAATCCATACTAAATGAGAAATTGAAGGTGTTGCTTAGTAGAGAAATGTAATGTTTATTTAAAGAGATCTTTTAGAAATTTTTAATTTTCAGTGGAATTAATTTCTTTTAAACAAATAAAGTATTCTACATAGTTCTGCAATTAATAAATATAAAGTTAAATTCTCTTCCTGTACATTTGTGACTTCCCTAGGGTAATTTTGAAGTTAGGTTACCATGATTCTTCTTCATTGTGCACTCTTTAACATTTCAAAAATACACGAAAATAGAATTATACAATAAATACTGTCATCAACATTTTTCAAGATATTGCCACATTTACGCAGTCCATGTGTGTGTTTATGCATATTTTCTTGTCTTTGCTGAAGTATTTTAGAACATTTCCCACCCATACATCTTTCAGTATATATCTCTCAAAAATGGCTATTTTTTTTACCTAACCACAGTGCCTTGGTCATCACTTATACAATAATAATTTCTTGGAATTATTCCTCATTGTCTCAAAATGTCTTTTCTACATTTTTAAATGTTTTAATTTGTATCTAAACAAAGTCCAACCATTACATTTTGGTATGCTCACAAATCTGTTTTAATACCACACTACTAACTTTTTGTTGCTACTGACACTTGTTCATTGGACTGTCTCATCTCGATTTGTCTCTTTGCTTCCTTGTGGTGGTGGTGGTAAACTTGTTTTTCCCTCTCCTATATTTAAATGGAAGTTAGCTCATGAGGATTGAATAGACTTAGATTCTCCTTTCTGGTAAGACTGCTTAATAGATGCTATGTGTTTTATATCTAATCACATCAAAAGGCACTTATCACTGGGTTCAGCTGCTGATCTTCCACCTTAAAGGTTCCTATCAACCTTTCCATCTAATGGTTTCATCCATTGTTATTATTGCTTGAACTAATTTTATTATAGATTGTAAAACAGGGAGTTTCCTTTTTATATTCTGTATGATCCAATTATTTTCTATAAAAATGAATAACTAATAACATTAATATTTCCCCTTTTTATACTTAATATTTCTTTTTTAATCTGACATGGATAGAAGAGAATCATATATACAACAAAGTAGATAAAAATCTGAAGTTAAAAAGATAATTAGATCCTGGCTTGTGTGGCTCAGTGGATTGAGCATCATCATATGTATCAAGAGATTGCTGTTTTGATTTCCTGTCAGGGCACTTGCCCAGGTTGCAGGCTTAATCCCCAGTGGGGGGCATGCAGGAGGCAGCCAGTTAATGATTCCCTCTCATCAATGTTTCTGTCTCTCTCTCCCTCTTCCTTCCTCTCTCTATAAAATCAGTAACATATTTTTTTTTTTAAAAAAAAGATGATTAGAATTTGTTTTCTAGGACATATCATTAGATAATTCTGTTTCAGACTTCTAAGAATAAATAAAAAATTATTTATAAAAAATATTAAAAACTTTGTGTTACAGACCCTGTTACCAAGAGGAAAAAAAATGGGACCAAAACACAGAAAAACATTTGTAAAAGCTCTCTATTATAATTAAGGCTACAGTACTCACATTAACTAAAATCCAGCATCTTTTATAGTATGGATTGGCTTAGGACACTGTCACAGGAAGAATCAGGGAAAGAATTCAGCCTTGAGCTCAGATATCTGATACTTTTCTCTCTATTTCCTTAAAAAGAGCTAGGGTGTATCTGGAGTTTTCTGACATGTGACATCCCCACCACAGTTAATAATGTAAGTTTTTAAGAATTGAGCTATGGACAGGGTTTTTTACTAGACTTCTAATGAGGGTTGTGTAGCTTATCTCTGAAGGGAGCAATTTAAATGTCTATATAACACAAAGTAAGGGCTCAATAATAATAACAATGGCTAATGTTTGTTAAGCACTTAGTTATGATAGGAACTTTACTAAGCTTTTGCATATCGTCTTCACACCTTATGAGAGAGAGGTACTATCATTATCCATATTTTATAGGTGAGGAAACTAAAACACAGAACTGGTAACTTACCTATGCTCACACAGCTGATAAATAAATAGTTGGATCCAAGAGTCCAATCTGGACAGTAACTGTAAAACCAGTACCATTTGTTGCTATACTATATCATCATCATCATCACCACTGGCTCTCAGACTGATTTTCTGAATGTTGGTTAGACCTAAAGAGAGCACATCTAATACATAGCCGGAGTTTTCCTCTCTATGATATCTGCTCTTAAAGCCACTGGAGTCCTGTACCTTTTAGAGATAAGTAGCAAAAACATCATCTATTCATTTACTTTTTCAAGGGTACATGATTGTAATAAAAAATAGCAGCTTATAATCTTGTACTATAACATAGAATGGTGCCTTGTACACCTAAGACATTGTCACTTGATAAGACACTCAAATATTCATTGACTGGGATAATGATAACCACTTATATGTCAGCCCTAACAGATACTTATTGTAATAACATGTTTGAGCCCTATGATCAAGCCTAAAACCAGCATGAAAGGCTAATTTGTACCCTAGATAATCTTTGGCTACCTCCAAATTTTGTTTAAAGCCTAAACCACTCAGAACCATTTCAAATTCCACCTTTGGCAAACATGCCATACCTATAGTAGATTGAAGGAAGCTCTCCCAAGCTCTAAATTACTAAATTTTAAGTTCCTAGAAGAAAAAATATATATGTTTATTTTTTTTATTATTGAAGAAACTTTGACTAACAATTGAAAATTATGCAGGATGTACCACTTGACAGTGTTTTTTATGTCTGTTTAAAGGTACAAATGGCATTATTTATAAGTAAAGTTTTCATTTGTATTCTGTAGAAAGAGCACATTTTTTATTTTACATTACATTTATAACATTCTAGAAGATAGAAACTGTCTTTTATATCTATTCTTCCTCTTGTACATTGTATGTGGTAGGTCTTCTATAAAATGTTAACAGAAATGTCAAAATGTAAAGTTTCTTAGCAGGGTTACTTGTACTTTTGTATTTTGGCTACTTTTTAACACTTTTTAAAAGGCCTTGGATTAACTTTTTTCCATAATTTTAAAATTTTTATTTTATGTATTTAATAAGTTAAAGGGCCATTATTTTTTTTCAGTCTTTTTAGTGGATCTCATTATTTAGAGATTTTACATAAAATGACAGCAGATGACCAAAGATACAGTGGATCAACTTACCTGTCCGATCCTCGTCTTACAGCAAATGGTTTCAAGATAAAATTGATACCAGGTATGATGATGTGGTTTAATATTTTCTGACTTAGAAAAATCTTGTTTCAAGAGATAAATTTGGGTTTCATAATTTAGAGATATCATGGTGTATTTTTGTCTCACCAAAAGTATGTCAGCTGTGTAAAAACAGTCATATTTCAAACATGTCATGTCTGTCTGAAATAAGCAAGTTTGGCATCTTTTTCGGTCTGTTGCCTTACATTTGCATTTTCAAAACTAATTGAGGAGTTTTATTTTAATTTTTGCCATTCTTTGTCATAATATTCAAACTGCCTGTTTGGTTTAACTAGTTATTAAATACTCCTTTAGGTGATTGAGTGGAAGTAAATATGCAGCTTACTGGAGTGATCTAACAAAAATGGACATCTTAAAATCATGTAGTTATTTTGCCAAGTAAATGCGTAACATCAGCACTCTTACTATTTGGAGAGTAGATGATTTGATTTCATGGCTTTGCTAGAAAGACTGTGATAATACTATTTGTTGATATGGAAATTCATTGAGTGGGAAGAAAAAAGAATCCTTTGGCTAGGAGACTTGTTTTCCTCACTGGCCTTTTTTTCTGTTCTTCCATAGTTTCCATACTTATGCCTTCTGCCCTAGCTTCCTAGTTTGGTACCAAGGAGCACAGTGGCGCCATGAAGAGTGACGCTACTGTTCCCTCTTCCCACTCATTCCTAAATTTGTCATGACCAAAGTGTAGAAAAATAAAGTTCAACCAAAACAGATTTTTAAAGGAATGTTTTACTGAGACCTCAAAAGAAAATAAGTAAAAGCAGTGTACAAGACCATGAAATTGGGCATATATTGAAAATACTTTGGTTTCCTCTAAACTTTAATTTTACTCGACTTTATCAGTTTTAAGGATACCTACCTTAAACTTCTTACCTACTGCCTCAGTCTTGGATATTTAGACTTGGAGTAAAGAGGGTCTAAATCCCAACTCTGCCTTTTAAAAACTGTTGTTTATGGGAAAGTGAGTTAGCCTAAATATTTGCTCATCAATAACAATTAGTAATTACTGAATACTTAATATGTTAGGGTACTCTTCTTAATATTAAATGTATTCATTTATTAATCTTCCTACTAGCCCTATGAAGTAGGCTCTATTATTACTGTCCCTATTTTATAGGTGGTAAAATCAAGGCATAGAGAAGTTAAGTTTTCTTAAAGATACATAGTTAGTGGTAGAACCAGGATTTGAACCCATACAGTTTGCCTTTATAGTCTAGCTCTTAACGAATGTGTTACATTACTTCCCTGTTAAAACTGAGATATTTACATCATGAAGTAGTGAGCAATTAAAGTATATCAATCAGTTAGCATAGTATATAGCAATGATAGGTGTTCAAATACTCTCTTTTCTTCCTATCCTTCAGCACTTTTTTCTGACCTGAACTGACTTATAGTCATTTCTTTTAGTCCTAAAAATCTTCGGAGCCCCTGCAATATTTTTAATTTATTTGCAGTACAAAACAAGGGATGTGTTTGTGTATGTGTTGTGTAGCAAGATATTTTTTTCTTGACTTAATCTGTTTTCCTAATGAACTCTATGGTGTTGATGAACTATGCCTTTTTTTTTTTTATCCTCACCCGAGGACACTTTTTCATTCTTTGTTCAGATAGAGCAGGAGGGAGAGAGAGAGAGAGAGAAACATCGATGTGAAAGGGACACATCGAGTGGCTGCCACCCGCACGACCAACCAGGGCTGGGGACAAACTGCAACCGAGGTACATGCCCTTAGCGGGAACCGAACCCGGGTCTCTCTGGACCGCAGGCCGACGCTTTAACCGCTGAGCCAAACCGGCCAGGGCAACTATGCCATTTTTTTAAAAAGATTTCATCACAGCAAGTGTTTTAAAGTTAGGATGCTAACTCTATCTATTATTCCAAGAGCATGTTTATTTTTGAGCTACCCACTAGGTTTCTGACAGATGCTTTCAACTCTTAGCTTGTAGATAGTTGTTTTTTTTGTTTGTTTGTTTTTTGTGTGGTATGTGCCCCTAGGAGGAACCGAACCGGAGACTGGTCCACAGGCCGATGCTCAATTGCTGAGCCAAACTGGCCAGGGCGTAGATAGTTTTTTAAGTCTTATTGAATGCCAGTACTTGTATGGCACCAAAGATGTAAAAATGAATAAGACAGTCTACAAACTGACTTGATTTGTTTGGATTTAACTTAGATTATCATCAGCATTATTTCTCATGTCAACAACAGATCAAGTTAAAAACATTCATGTTTTCTTTCTTAAATTTTTTGGCCTTTTTTCTTTATTAATTTTTATGCCATGTTTCTTAAAGCCCATTTCTCTTTCTTTTAGTGAGAGTTTTGTTGTATTGGACTTAACTTTGGATGAACAGTTTGCCAGTTATTACAAAACATCTTTGGATACAGATAAAGGTATATGAAAGACAGGAAGAATACATCTGGTTTTGAGGGAAAAGATTCTGAATGTAACCTTAAGATCTTTGTTTATTAATGAGCATAGCTTTTTGTTCTGCATCAATAAGATTCCATATTTTAGGAAGTGAAAATTTGTCAAACTGCTTATTAATTTGAAGTATTTTCCCTGAAAATTGGAAAGCATTTCACAGAATTTTATGAAAATGTCTTGGAAGTTTATTGTTATATGGTTCCAAATATCTGTTAAGTTTTCCATATCTGAATTTTGCAAGCAGAGATTAAAATATTGCTCAATTTCCTCATCTGTGGCCAAATACTTTTTACCCATGTCCACAAGTAATTCCATGAAATGTGTACAATTTTCCAGGGTAAATATAGTCAGTATTAGACTTTTCAATCAAATCATATTAGTGGCAAGTCTTTTGACTGATATTTTTGTAAATTTCCATATCTATTTTTATGTAAAAACTGGTGTACTACAATGTTCTGCTATCTCCTTGTTGCCTATGTAAACCCTGATGCAAGTCCCATTTAAGTTCCACTGGTTGCTCAAACTCTCATTTTGTCTCCATTCACTGAACTCTGTTGTATTGCTTAATAACTGATTATATATGTTCTTATACTATTCTCCAGTTGTTTCCCAGGAAGAACATTAGGATGCCTGCTCGGTTTACTGTAACACTATTGCATCTGCTGTCCACATCAAGGAACTAGTCTGTAACTGAGAGCAGATTAGGGATAGGATCATTGACTTACAAGGATCTGAAACTCTTCAAGCTACATCACTCCTCTTTTTTTTTTTTATTCATTCATTTATAGCTTGCTTATACCACTTTCCAACATTGAACTGTCTCATTTTCTTTACTTCAAAGTAACATTTTATGGACTTCAATATTAAGAACACTGTTACACAGATATAGCCAAAGAAAACAAGGCTGCTAATTTCCAAAATCATAAAATGCATTCTAATGCAAAATTTGATGCTTTGGAATATATGCTGTTATGAATATTTTACCTAGTTTATATATTCATTCATATCATTAGTTTTTAGTTTTATTTTAATCATTAACTTATTTAGAGTAACTTAAATAATAGATAACATGTGAGTTTTAAACAGTGTCCTAGTAAAATATTTTGAATAAAAATTAGTTATTTCACTTCCTCAAATTAATATATTAATAAGTTACTATAGTAGTAATCATTTTATAATATATGTATATCAAATTAACACTTGTACACCTTAAATTTACACAAGGTTATATCGGTTATATTTCACTAAAACTGGAAGAGAAAATTACTATGTGAGTATTTTTATAATAATATGTGAATTAAAATAATCATAGAAATAATCCACATCTTTAAGTTAGATAATAAACCAGTAGGATAGAGCTTGAACAGCAGCAGTTGTTAACACACTTAGAGCAGTTTTATTTTAATAAATATCATAGGACTCCATTTTCTCTCTAAAGAAAGAAACCTTCTAAACAAATGTAGGGAACAGAAAAGCAGTCCCTGAGATTAAATGATAGAAAGCTCATGTAGTATCTAGGAACACTTAGGACTTAATGTGAATGTGAAATCCTATGGAAATTATTATTTGTTTTCAACTAAGGAACAAAACTTGGTCCTTATTATATTACATTTTAATGAAGATTCACCAAATACTTAAATAGTGGTTTTGTTTTTAATAGATATTTTCTGGAATATAACTTAAACACAAATAAACTAATGATATTTGTGGTGTTTTGTTGTTTTATTTTTTTTCTTTTAGGAGCTTCCATTGCTGAAAACTACTTGGAAATAGAAGGAATGGCTAATTGTCTTCCATTCTATGGAGTGATGGATTTAAAAGAAATTCTTAATGCTATATTCAACAAAAATGCAAAAGAAGTTTATGAATGTAGACCTCGAAAAGTGATAAGTTATTTAGAGGTATGCATTATTTGACTAAGTAGGTTGGCTTGGTTTTAAGATACTTAACTATTCCTTAATAAAATAATAAATGGTTTCAAATAGTAAAGTTTCTACAAGATTTATTATTGTTTGCAAGAGGAAAATACCATTTAAAAAAGAAAGCTCCTTTAAAATAGACTGGTTGCGGTAAACTCTATTGTGTATCCTTGCTATAACATTTTTTCTTGAGTACATAGTGAGGAAGAGCCTTATGCATGAGGCATTTTGTAGTGAAGTTCTATTTGTTTTGTTTTTTTAGAAGGGATTCAAATTGTTCCACCTTTATACCAAATACTTGTTTAAAAAGAACTATAATAAGATTTTAAGCCATGATCTTTTCAAGAGCAGAAGAGGAGAGAGAAAGTGAAGGATGTAGGCTTAAAGAAATGGAAATTTTAGTTTTCTACCAGTATCTACCACAAATAATGTAACAGTGGGTTAAAAAATAGATTCAAATGTAATAGAAGATGGAGAAAGATTTTAAACTTTTAAACGTCCAAATATAAGATAGTGGTGGGAAAACAACAGTAATTGTCTCCATATTTGAGGCTTTATCCCTCAAGTTTGACTGATATATATATATATATATATTTTTTTTTTTTAATCCTCACCCAAGGATATTTTTCCATTTTTTGTACAGATAGAGTGGGAGAGAGAGAGAGGAAGGGAGAGAGAGAGAGAAACATCGACGTGAAGGGACACATCGAGTGGCTGCCACCCGCACGACCAACCAGGACCAGGGACAAACTGCAACCGAAGTACGTGCCCTTAGCGGGAACCGAACCCGGGTCTCTCCAGACCGCAGGCTGACGCTCTAACCGCTGAGCCAAACTGGCCAGGGCTTGACTGATATTTTTTAAATAAACCTGATCTTTAATAAAGTTTATTTTCTCCCTTTATAAAAAATGAGTTTTTGTTTTAGACTATAATCATTGTCTGCCTGTTGCATTCTGAGGGTCAGGCTTCCTCAGCCGGGAAGTGCACTTTTTATCTATTTCGAAGATTGTACTCAGTAGTTTTCTGTGGGTCCTTCAAGAGGTTGTCTTGTGGAACTTCCCAGCCTATTTGGGGCAATTCAACATTGCTAGTTTCTAGGGATGGAAAATAAATCGTGTTTGTGCGTGCGTGTGTGTAAGTATTAGTAGAAACTTAAATAAGAATCATTTGGGAAGAAAGGAGGTTTCAGAAATAACAGAAAAAAGTGGGTGGGATTAGATATAAATATTTTTACTATTGTTATACCTTTCATTATATTAAGGTAATAGTGGATATGATTCTTAAAGGAAGACAGTCTAGGATAAAAGAGAACTTCTGTCAGAACCACAACCATAAGAATGCTTCATTTAAGGTTAAGTTGAATTAGATGAAACAGATAAAGATAGAACATGTGAAAGGAGAACCAAGAGGGGTAGATATAAAAAGTTGGTGGAGGAAAGAAATTTAAATATAAATAAGTAGTATCACGTTCTTCACAGGTTAATAGTTGCTAGAAGACCATTAGGTGTGACTACTAAATGGAAGTGATAATCTTGCAGAGAGCCATAATGGAAAAGTAGTAAGGATGAAAGACATTTGTCAATGGTCAAAGTGTGGGATAGAGGTGTAAAACGTGTAGGCAGAAAGTCATGTGACAGTGAAAGGAAGAAAAGAGAAAATACTAGCATGTTTGTATTGAATTTGGTAGAAAAGATTGACTCTAAAAGATTGGATAGCAGATGTTCCAAACGAGGCAGGAAGGAAAATGGGATGTGATAGAAACTTTAGAAAGGAGAAACAGTTCTCTGAATCAAGAGCAGAAGGAAGGGAAAATGAACATAAAAATATTTTGAGGTAAACTTGAGAGAAGTCATGTATGATTCATGTGGTAAAGAACTAGGAAAGTTATCTGCTGAGAGTGAAGGGGCTGGAGAGACACTGGGGATTTGGGAATAGTAGAAAAAATGAAATTAAGATCTGTCAGCACTCTATAAAAGAAGGTTAATTAGGGAAGAACAAGATTTTCAGGTGGCACTCAGGGCTTGTAAGAGCTAACATTGATATTGGATCCAACCAAGAGTTTTGCCATTCTCCAACAGTGCTTGGTAGAATTTATGCAGAGGTTGAGATAGCAACATGACTGGTGGAAGAACAAAAGAGTAGGGTATGTGAAGAAATTTGAACACATTATATATACAAGAAACTATTTTAGGTGTGAGATTAACAAATGCATTACATTCTACTAGGAATCTGACTTCAGATTTTAGTAGGAGTCTAAAAGGAATGCAGGAAGCTAGAGATAGTATCCTTTATTTCTTATTTATTATTCATACCTTAAATAGGGAAAGATGACAGAAGGGTGCTGATGGGTTAGGAGAATAAGGAAGGATTGTAGAGATTGAAGGTCAAAATGAATAAAAAGAATAGGTTTAGTTGGGATAAAGGAGTAGGATGGTTAGGAATATAATAGGAGAGGGTGTGTGATTAGAGTAATGTTAGGATTCAAGACCTTCGAAGTATAACAATTTTTTTAAAATAAATCTTAAGCCAGATTCACTAAAACTATTTTACCCCCAAACTCAGTCTTTACTATTTCAGAAAACAGCTCTACCATACCAAAAATGTGAACGTGATTCATGATTCTGCATCCTTCATAAACAGTTCATCAGCAAGTCTTATCTACCTCCAACTCATATCAGGAGTCTTTACACCTCTCTCCATTGCCACTACAATCACCCTAGTCAAAAACTCTCACTAGGACTCAGTGATTGCCTCAAACCGTGTTTCATATGACAGCCATATATGAATTGTGAAAACAAAGTCAGGCCCTTGCTTAAAATTCCTCTGGTTACTTCCTTGTTCATTCAGATTAAAACCCGAATTGCTCACCCCATCTTAAAGGATGATGTGCCCCCAGTCTCACTCCCTTCCTTTTAGTAATTATGTTTCATTTAACCCTGATCATTTGATTCTTTCTGTTCTATCTGCCTAACTGCTTTTCTTTATCCATGATGTTTGCATCCTGGTTCTTGTTTAAATTGAAACTTAAATGTCACCTCACCTCAAGGAAGCTTTTCCTAACCACATAGTTACTTTCTATCATGTTGCTCGGTTTAATTTTATATATATTACTCACTGAAATTTTCTTTCTCTTTTTATCTGTTTTCTGTTACTTTGAACTTGAATGTAAATTTCACAAGAGCAAGGATCTTATTTGTCTTGTTCTCCGCTGTATTCCTATAACCTATGACAGTGACTAGCACATAATTGGTGTTTAATAAATATTTGTTGAGTGATGAATAATAAAAAGAATATAATTAGTTTTCTGTCTTCTTGCTAAGAATAACATATTTCTGTTTCAGGGTATCTCACAGTAAAGTGTATGGCTTTCTCTTCACAGGGAGAAGCAGTGCGTCTATCTAGACAGTTACCCATGTACTTATCAAAGGAAGACATCCAAGACATCATCTACAGAATGAAGCACCAATTCGGAAATGAAATTAAAGGGTGTGTTCATGGTCGCCCATTTTTTCATCATTTAACCCATCTTCCAGAAGCTACATGATTGAAACATGCTTAAGAAAATTGGTTACTATTAAAATTGATTTGGTCATAAAATAATCTGAATTCATTTTTAAACCTCCTCTGTGCTGTGTGAAATGGTTATTTTGTAAGTGAAGATTCACTGGTTTGTTTGTATATTGAAAAAATTTTTTAACTGCGGAAAACTTAAATAAACTAATATAGACTATTCATTTTATTTTGAAGAACCACCCTTTATAATAATTGATTGTAAACAACAAAATTGAAAATACCTAGTATTCATGGGTGGTTGGTCTGCTAGGTCTATGGAATGAATTGTCTCCAAAATTAATATGTTGAAGACCTAACCCCCAATGTGATGGTATTTGAAGATGAGGTCTTTGGGAGGTAATTAGGTTTAGATGAAGTCATGAGGGTGGGGCCATCATGGTGGCTTTAGTGTTCTTATAAGAAGAGCCACCAGAGTTTGCTTACTCTCCTTTTCTCCCTCTCTAGCCATGTAAGGATATGGAGAGAAGGTGGCCTTCATCAGAAATCAACTGTGCTATACCTTGATCTTGGACTTTTAGCCTCTAGAACTCAGAAAAATATTTGTAGTTGAAGCCACTAGTCTATAGTATTTTGTTATGGCAGTCTGAGCTGACTAATTCACTGGGTCAGTCCTGTGCAGGGAGAAATACAGACTCGGCTGGCATATCTCGTTCAAAGTAGGATGGTGAGACAGAAAGTGGGAGAAAGTGAGGAAATGAAGAAAATACATACCTGAAAATTCTGCCATTTGCCTCCTCAGCAGGTAACAGTTTAGAAGTTGATGTCTCTTATGTGGAAATGATTGGGCTTTGGGCTTAAAATTTGTCAGAGCATGGAAAGATCTACATTTTTAACAAAGAAATTAGGTTAAGATTATTGGTTCTGCGAGTGTCCTTTCAAAAACCAGGTCCCACAGTGCATCAAAATACTTAATTTACAAAAAATTGAAACACAATCTTTGATTAATATATTTGTTGTGTAAAGTAAAATATACTGGATACAGTGTCTCCAGACTCATACCACCTCCTATATTTGTCAAGGAGAATTTTTTAATTATTAAGACACTTATGTGTTAAAAGGTGTAAATTGTGATACCTGGAATTCTACCTGTAGCCTGGCCTTTCTCCTGTCAACATTGCCTGTTTTCTATAACCCAAATACTATTTTTTTTCTTCATTAACCCCTTTAAAAATTGGAGGGCCTTCTCAGGGAGACCTTTCTGAGAGTAACCCTTTTTAATTTACTAGGCAATTTGAGGAAAGAGAAGCTCACAGAGAGACTGAGGATGATGAAATCTGCATCATATGTTTGTACCAGCTCTAAGCGAAATTTTGGATTCATTTTCTAGCTAATATAGTGTGTTGCTGTCCTTCCACAGCCTCTTAGATGAATAAACTTGTGTTCCTTTTTCTTTCCAGTTGTGGATTCTGCCAAATCAGGTTAGTAGTAATGACAGCAAGTATTTACCATCCATTTGCTGAGTATACTGTGCACTTAACCTTGTATGATCTCATTTGATCTTCACAACAAATTCAAAATTGTAGGTGCTATTAAGACATACCAGAATTCACGTTCTTTACCACTGTTATACTGCCTGCCCTGAAAATAGGCCCTAGAGATTCATTAGGGTCAATGTAAGTATTTGGAGGCGAAAAGAAAATAACACACTCCCTGACACCACTCTTAGAAATGTTATATCAACTTTGGGCTGCAACCCTGTATTCTAACAGGGATCTGGGGTAGTCCAGGTGGGCAGGGGCAGGGCCAGTTAAGCTGAGGCAGGACTCCTAGTTCCCAAGGCGGAGACCGAAGCCCCGCCCCCAGGAGCTACCCTCAGCGCCCTCCCATCCCCCACAAGCCCTCGCCGTATCATCTGCACTATGGGACAACATGAATGGAGTGGGCGGCAGCATGGCGAAGCCAGGGTGGATGGAGGCAATGGCCGCTCTGGGCTGGGAAGCCAGCTCTGGAGATAAAGGGTGAGGCAAGAAGATACCGAGCGGACGGATAGCCTCACCCCAACTGACCATTTTCCTCATAAGGTTGGGGAATGGCCCTGGAGCAGAAAGACCCAACGTGTGAATACACCAAAGTGCTCTTGCGAACTTAGGGTCCTGCGGTCCCAGTCCAGGCTTTGAAATGAGTTATGCCGAAGCCATGTGGAAGTGAGACCGTTAGGCCCCTTTTGCCTTAAGAGTAGTTATATATGGTCCAACAGTGCCTATGATGTTTTAGATATTGAACATACTGAAAAATGTTAGACCTGAATTCAGATGGACAGGTTTTTTTTTTTATTTTTATTGGCTATTTGAGTCTGAGATTTTTATACAGGTTTTTGTGGCTGAAATTGCAGGAATTGCAATCCATCCCACCACAGCCTACATTTCTTACCTAAAAATATAAATGTGACCTATTTATTGGGTACCCAAAGTTACCAAGCAAAAGAAAATTTCACTAACTATATTGAAGTATTTAAATGAACTAGATTTGTTCTTGGGATTGTAGCATTCCAGATTGATTCAGGCAAACCAGTGTTCATGGATTCATAGCTGCTAAAGAGAATCTTTGAGGTGATCTAATCCAACCAATTTTACAGATGAGAAAGTAGAACCCAGAATTACTAAATGAATTGCCCACAGCTGAATGCCTGCCCCTGATTAGTACTCTACTAGTTACACTTTAAATGTTGATATTACCATAAACTAAAAGAAAGGTAGTATTGAAATCAAATTTTACTGCAAAGCCAAATTTAAAGGGAAGATTGAACTGCTTCCCTTCATTAGCATAAATAAGTTAACAGTTACCTTTTTCTAGATCTTTGGGTTGATCTAAAACTTGTACTTTTTCATCTTCAAAACCATTGTTATACTAACAACACAATTGGTCTCTCACCACTGCTGCCTTGAGATTGTTCTCTCTGCTTTTTTTTTTTTTTTTTTTACCACACTTTTTATTCCTTTTTAAACCACTACAAATAATGTAAAGATCCCTTATGTTTTTAAAATCCTGCCCCAGTGATTATCAAATTTGAGCTACACTTGGAGAACCACTGTCCTGTCCTATATCAAAATTTCCCTGGCAAATGTCAAGTTCAGTTCTTTTAGCCCATATTTTTTCTTATTGATTCTTACTAAAATCTGTCATCTCAGTTAACTAAAACGTAGAAGTCCTCACTCTAATTATATTTTTAGACATTGAATTCTTCATCTCTGAAATGAAGATGTTGAATTTGACCCCCAAATACACAATCATTTCTAAGATTCTGTATGTTTCTTCCTGTTTTGTCTTGAATATTTATTAGAAAGAATGGAATGACCTCTTTTCAGTTAATTACCACTACATTACTTTTTTACCAAATATAAATGCCACTGAACTAGAACTAGCCCACTTTTTCCATAAAATCTTTTAAACAAATCAGGGAAAAGGTAGATTTCTTCTACCCTACTCAAATTGAACTTGAAATCATTATAACAAACTCCATCATCTCTATTTTAGTTGTATACTCATTCCTTTGCTTATTCAATAATAACTTATTGAATGTCATACTTAGTACTGAACACAGTATAGAGAGAAGACATCCCTCTAGAGGAGGAAAACTTGCAGTAATATAGGTAATATGAGGATATGTAGTATATATTGTGGAAGCATAGAGGGGTACCCACTCCCAACTTGGAGAAACCCATGGGAGAAACTAGAAGAAATGAAGGATCTTTCAGGCAGAGAGAACAGAATGTGCCAGTGCACTGGTGAGCACAAGGAATTCTACATCACTAGATCCTGAGTAAATGAAGATTGGATTAGAATGATAGGCAGTTCCTTGATCGTAAAGGTTCTCATAAACCTGTAAGGATTGGGGAAATTTTATCCTAAGGATTTTGGAAACCATTAAAGTTTTTAAGCAAAATATACACAGTAAGGTTCAGAACACCTGAGCCAGTTTAAAATCAGACAATGTGATTGATCCAAACAAAAAGAAAGGCTCTATGGTAACAAATAGAGAAAGTCTATCTGACAGTTATTGAGACCCTCATAGCCTTGCAGGAGTTTTCACTTTAGATTCTCTGGGATGATGCCATAATAGAACTAAAGTGAAAAAAAGGTCTTTCCCTATTTTGCTAATTTATGCTGATAACAGATTACTGGAAGAATGAGGGGTCATTTGCCACTTCTTTCTGGACTAAGAAGTCAGTATGATTTCAGCTAATCCTGAGTTCCTTACAAACTAGAAAAACCATTTAATATAAAATTTTATTTTATTTATATATTTTTTTTAATCCTCATCCGAGGACATTTTTCCATTATTTGTACAGACAGAGTGGGAGGGAGAGAGAGGAAGAGAGAGAGAGGGAAACATCGATGTGAAAGGGACACATCGAGTGGCTGCCACCCGCACGACCAACCAGGGCCGGGGACAAACTGCAACCGAGGTACATGCCCTTAGCGGGAACCGAACCCGGGTCTCTCCGGACCGCAGGCGGACGCTCTAACCGCTGAGCCAAACCGGCCAGGGCTAATATAAAATTTTAAAGATGATTAAATCCGGTGTTTAAATTTTAATCTAGACTAGTCTCTGGAGCCTTTTGGAAACCAACCTAAAGTTTCTAGTTGTCCCTTAAATGAAATATATTTATAAAGAATTTATATATTCAAATATAATTTTCTAGGTAGTGTTTATGTCCAGATGCTTAACAAGACAAAGGAATGGCTGAAAATTTTAAAGTTATCTTTAATGTTTAACTTACTTGATATTTAAGAACTTTCTCATAGGCATTTTAATTATGTTCTGTAATTTAGATCATAGAAATGAATGACAAGAAGAAACAGGCAAGAAATTGTGAATGGATTGAACATATTTTTGGAAGAAAATGGTATGTTTTCAAAAGTTAATTTACTGTTATTTTACTTAAAATAATAGAGAGGGTATCCTTATTTTTGAATTTTCTTTCATTTTCTCTAAAGACATTGATAAGTTACAGCAAATTAACTTGCAAGAAAGTGATGCTATTCTGCCCCCAAATATAGGTGGTCCCCAACTTTCAGTGGTTCGACTTAGGATTTTTCAACTTTACGGTGGTGCAAAAGCAATGTATATTCAGTAGAAACTGTACTTTCGAATTTTGAACGTTTATATTTTCCTGGGCTAGCAATATGTGATATTCAATATGCTGTATGATACTTTCATGATGTTGGGCCACAGCAGCAAGCCACAGCTCCCACTCAGGCACACGATCATGAGGGTAAACAACAGATACTTCACAGTGTACTGTGTTACCAGCATTTTTTAGAGTTTGTGTTCTGAGAATGTTTAAGATAGACAGGCTAAGCTATGATGTTCGGTAGAATAGGTATATTAAATGCATTTTAGACAGGATATTTTCAATCTGTGATGGGTTTATCAGGGTGTAACCCCATTGTAAGTTAAGGAGCATCTGTGTATTATAAGTAACTCATTCATAATAATAGCAAAAAAAAAAAAATCTATGTGTCTTTGCATGTACATAGCTAAATATATATGAAGTATTTATTATCTACTTGGAAGTTTGCAATTTTTTGGTCTTTTCTTTTTAGCTTCCTGAGTCATATAAAAATCTGTTATAGATCAAACATTTCCCCACATACATAGTGATCCTTGATGTTCCAATAAAACAAGATTCCCCTCCACACGTGCAGCTTCCAACTTGTAGAAGATTGTATAGGAGCAATGAAGTTTTAGCTATTTTTTCACTTAAAACCAAAATAAAATGTGCAGTCCTTCTCTGCTCCCAAAGTTGGAAGAGTACTTCACATTTTCTAGGTTTCTTCAGATGACAACTTTGAGGATATTCTATGTATACTAGTTTATGGGTATGGCCCAAGTCAGCACTTCTCAAATTTTAACATGCATATGAATCTCCTGGGCATCTTGTAAAAATGTACATCTAATTCAGTAGGTCTGGGATATGGTCTGATATTTTGCAGTTCTAACAAGTTCTCAGGTGATGCTTATGCCACTGGTTTAGGAACTACCCTTGGGCTAACAAGAACATACATAATCCTTTGGCTAAATGCTAGGTTCTTGAGGTAGAATATAGATACAGCCCAGCCGGTGTGGCTCAGTAGATCGAGCATTGTCCCCTGCACCAAGAGGTCTCCAGTTCAATTCCCAGGCAGGGCACATGCCTGGGTTACTGGCTTGACCCCCACTAAGGGGCTTGCAGGAGGCAGCTGATTTATCTCTCATCGATGTTTCTAATCTCTCCCTCTCCCTCTCTCCCTCTAAAAATAAAAACATTTTAAAATAAAACAAAGAATGTAGGTACATTTTTTTAAAACCCAAACATACACCAAAAATTAAATAATCAGAATATGAGTTTGTTTATGGTTCTCCATTCCGTTTGGGAAGTGAGATTTAGGCTTTTTTATGGAACATCATTTATTTTTTTTGTTTGCTTTGTTTTTTATTCCTCACCCAAGGATATTTTTCTACTTATTATCAGATAGATTGGGAGGGAGGGAGGGAGGGAGGGAGGGAGAGAGAGAGAGAGGGAGACAGAGAGGAACATTGATGTGAAAAGAGCTACATGAACTGGTTGCCTCCCACATGACCTGACCAGGGCTGGGGTCGAACTGCAGCCGAGGTATGTGCCCTTGACTGGGATTGAACCTGAGACTCATTAGTCTGCAGGCTGACAATCTAACCACTGAGCCAAACTGGCCAGAGCTGTTGTTACCTTCTTGTACACACATCCCTCCATTAAGAGGTGGAGTCAGTTCTTTCATTCTCTTGAATCTTTGCTAGTTTATGATTACCTTGACCATTAGATTATAACAGGTGATTCTACATGCCTTCCAAGGCAGTCAAAGAAGCCTTGGAGCTTTCCTCTGTCTATTTTGAAATGGTTTATGTGGATAAGCCAGTTATCTCATTAGAAGTCAAATCTACCCTGAGTCTACCATTCTATAAGAGAGTACAAGAAAGCAAGGTGAAGAGGCCATGTGGAGAAAGAGATGCTTGACTACCTGGTTCATACTTGTTCAGCCATACTAGCTCAGGTGCCAGACATTGAGTGACAGCACCTTCAGATGCCTCCTCAGCTGCCATCTGAATTCAACTCTATGAGGTACCCCAAGTGAGAACTATCCAGGAAGCTCATCAACCCCCAGAACCATGAAAGATAAATTGTTATGTTACTATTATGTCTTTGAGATCGGAGATAATATTGCTTTTAAGGATTGTTTATTTGTACATCTGATTTGTAATTTTTCACATAATTCCCACATATTCATGTTGTCACCATGACATCAAACTGAATGAAAAAGAGATTAATATTTTTTACTGAATATTACTTTTTCTTTTATCTTTGATTCATTCCATGACCAAATAATAGTTTCTTAAGAGCATTCTCCTTTGAGCTTTACTTTTATCATAAAGAATAATTTTAATGAAATTTTAAAACTTATTCATTTCCTCCGTTTTGTTTTGTTATCCTCACCCGAGGACATTCCTTTCTTTTTTGTTCAGATAGAGTGAGAGGGAAGGAGGGAGGGAGGGGGAGAGAGAGAGAGAGAGAGAGAGAGAGAGAGAGAGAGAGAGAGAAACATTGATGTGAAAGGGACACATTGAGTGGTTGCCACCTGCACGACCAACCAGGGCAGGGGACAAACTGCAACTGAGGTACATGCCCTTAGCGGGAACCGAACCCGGGTCTCTCTGGACCGCAGGCAGATGCTCTAACCGCTGAGCCAAACCGGCCAGGGCCATTTCCTCAGTTTTTACAAGATACTTATCAAAAACACCTTAGGGGATTCAAGACACAGAGAGATTCAAAATTAAATGAAACATAATCCTTTCTCTCAGGAAGATTTTGGCCTATGAAAAGAGAATAGTCCACAAATAACTCTATTAGAACAAATGCTGAGAGAGAGGAATTAAAAATGCAGGGGAGTTTCAGAATAAATAAAAATCACATCAGCAATGGTGATCAGCTTTATAAAGAAAATTGCTTTTGAGCTGGGTTGTGGGGCCTGGAAATGTTTCTTGTTTGCATAATTTAAAATTAGAAATCAGAGAAGACATTCTAAGAATGACATAGGGAAAAAAGGATGGAAATAGTAGAGATGAAACATGATCAGAACTATGCCTAGATTAAGTGTGGCAGCCAGGTGTAATATTCTTTGTGTGAGAGAGAAAGTCAAGTTTAGTGAGGAGCCTGCTGCAGCAGTAAGGACACAAATAACTCATGAATCAGGGCAGTGACCCTGGAAATTGAAAGGAGGAGAAAAGATTAATGGAGATAGACTCAACAGAACTTAGTACCGAGATAGATAGGTAGAGAGATGGTAGATGGATGGATGGATGGATGATAGATAGATAGATAGATAGATAGATAGATAGATAGATAGATAGATCATCATAGGCATTACAAAAAAATTCAGTTTGAGTCTGTGCATAAATTATAGTACCATCAAGGAAGGCTACATTATGTAGAAGGACCACTGGTGGGAGAGTGAAAGTTCAATAAAAATAATTCTCCCAGAAAAATGAACCCATTTTCACCCCTGCTGCCTGTGCATGGTGCTGGGGAAGTGGGGGTCAGGATTCCAGTACCAGAGCACGTGCTAGAGCATAATTGGGGACAAAGGCTCCCCTCCGGCAGCCCTTTTAACCCCTTGCAACAGTGGGGGGGAATGAACCCATTTTCCAGGTAAATGTATCCTTTTTTCATTAGGTAATAGATCCAAAATGACTTTAGATGCTTTTAAAAATAAAAATTAGTATGACAATTCATGTTTTATGAAGACGAAATAAACACTTCTAACATCAGATACTTATACTCAAAATCTTTGAAAGATGAGTGAACTTTGCAACAGCTTAAGAGTAGATAAAAAACCCTGGCCAGTTTGGCTTAGCAGTTAGAGCGTCGGCCCGCAGACCAGAGAGTCCTGGATTTAGTTCCCACTAAGGGCACGTTCGTCAGTTGCAGTTTGTTCCCAGCCCCAGTTGGGGTCATGTGGGTGGCAACCATTCGATGTGTCTCTCTCACATTGATGATTCTCTCTCCTTCTTTTCTCCCTCTCTCCTTCCCACTCTATCTGAAGATAAATGCAAAAAAGTCCTTGGGTGAGGATTAAAAAGAAAAAGAGTAGATAAAAGTATTTTTTTTGTCAGATTGTGATACATTTATTATTGAGAAACATTCAGTTAAATCTCTCTAAGCATCATGATGTTACTTTCCCACAGAATAGATGTTCATTTTTTTTTTTTTTTTTTCTCTCTTTTACCTCTGTCTTCTTGGGGTAGAAATGACATCCACATCTTTTTTTGGGCATCTCCAAATAAAATCTTGTATCTTTGAATTGGAAGCAAGAACTAAAGCCTAGTCCTTCAATGATGCTTCAGGCTACCTCTTCAATTTTAGATCCATTCTTCTCATATCACCTCATCTGTTCTCTCTCTACTCTCACCATGCTATACAATTAAATTTTATTTATATAATCCTACTCTACTTTTAGTCTTCCTCCTAAATTGTTTCTTATGCCTGAAACAGTCTTTTCCTAATGTGAAATTTCTTGACATCTCTTCTTAAATTGCCTCTCATTTATAATTTCTTATTTCAAATATCAGAAAAGACTTATGCTTTCCCTATCATAGAGATTCATATTTTTAAAATTTAAAGATCACACTTAAACACTTTCTTAACCAGGAAGTACCAGTTAAAATTAAAATCAAATATAAAATATTATTGAATATTAAATATTAAATATGTCTCATTACTGAGTTCTAGTCAATTAAGAGAACAATACTAGTAAAGAGGAAAGAAAATTTTGAAAGAGAAAAAAAAGGTAATTTGAATACTGTTTATTTCCAAGAAGGATTACAGTGGGTTACAATTAAAGAACAAATAAAATGAGATTAAAACCGTTAATATAGCATAGTGGTGTTTCTGAGTGGATTGAGGGTTGTCCCATGGACTGAAAGGTCCCTGTTCCATTCCTGGTCAGGGCACATGCCTGGGTTGCGGGCTCAAACCCCAGTAGGGAATGTGCAGGAGGCAGCCAATTGATGTAGCTTTCTCACATCGATGTTTCTCTCTCTCTCCCCCTTCCTCTCTCTCTAAAAAATCAGTAAAAACATAAAAACCATTAACATAAAGAAAATATTCAAATTAATTAGTAAAGGAAAGAGAAAGTGGAAACAAACAGAAAAGACAAAAGGAAATAATCTGAATGGAGAGCTACAGCCAGAAGACAGGAAGAAACCTTAGGGTTGGAGCAAACCTGTGTTGTTTGACCACCACAAAAGTTTTTTATTTTTTATTTTATCCTTCTCACCCATACTTTATAGGACTTTGATTAATCTCACTGCCTGGACACTCTTTAACTGGCCCCAAACTTCTTTCTTTTTTCTTTTCTCCCCCCCCCCCAAAATAAAGTAACTGCTCCTATACCCTAGCACTCATGTTTACCACTCATTCAATACTTAGTGCACTTAGAATTAAATTTCTTATGTATAGTTTTAGCTCTGTTTATCTTTATCACCTATCATGGTGCCTAACCCAGAAGACAATCTATAATTATCTGTATATTTGAATGATGGCATTTTATTTAATGCTATCTCCCTTTACTTTCAAATCTGTAGGTATTGACTGGTATTACTCCCCATCTGAAGGACAGTCATGGAAAATAAGATTAAAAGTTTATTGGGCCCTGGCTGGTTTGGCTCAGTGGTTAGAGTTTTGGCCTATGGACCAGAGAGACCCAGGTTTGGTTCCCACTAAGGGCATGTACCTGGGTTGCAGTTTGTCCCCAGCCTTGGTTGGGGTCATGTGGGTGACAGCCAGTCGATGTGTCTCTCTCACATTGATGTTTCTCTCTTTCTTCCTCCCACTCTCCCTCCCACTCTGTCTGAAGATAAATGCAAAAATGTCCTGGGGTGAGGATTAAAAAAAAGAATTAGAAGTTCATTTGGAGCCTAGAATGGGTTGTTCAGTTGGTTGGAGTGTCATCCTGTACACCAAAAGGTGTGGGTTCCATTCCCGGTCAAGGCACATACACAGGTCAGGACATTGTATGGGAGGCAACTGATTGATGTTTCTCTTTCACATTGATGCTTCTGTCTCTCTCACACTCTTTCTCAAATCAGGAAACACATCCTCAGGTGAAGATTTTTTTAAAAAGTTAATTTGGAACCAAATTTTGAGGGACCCTAAATATCAGGCTAGAGATTTTCAAATGTGGTTAAGAGCAGCTAAAAGTTTTGAGAAGAGCAACATAATCAGAACTGTGCATTAGGAATATTAGTTTAAAATCATGTTGAAAATGAATTGGAATGAGTAAAAATAGAGATGGGGAGGCCAGTTGAAAAAAAATATTGTTAAAAATTCCATTTATGTTATATATAAGTGTCTTAGTAATCTCATGTTCATTGTGTTCATCCAACATAGAAGAATTTTATTTAGAAGAATTTGAGCCCTGGCCAGTTTGGCTCAGCGGTTAGAGCGTTGGCCTGCGGTCCGGAGAGACCCGGGTTCGGTTCCCGCTAAGGGCACGTACTTCGGTTGCAGTTTGTCCCTGGCCCTGGTTGGTCGTGCGGGTGGCAGCCACTCGATGTGTCCCTTTCACGTCGATGTTTCTCCCTCTCTCTCCCTTCCTCTCTCTCCCTCCCACTCTATCTGTACAAAAAATGGAAAAATATCCTCGGGTGAGGATAAAAAATAAATAAATAAATAAATAAATAGAAGAATTTGACATTCTTGAGATATAAAAATATATCATTTCTAAAGTTAAATTCAATCAAAGTACAATTTTATTTATTTTCATCTTTATTATTGAACATCTTACAGATGTCCCTCCTTTTCCCACTCATTGACCCCCTTGTTCCCATTTCCACTTCCCTCCCACTTTCCCCAAACTATTGTCTGTGTTCATTGGTTATACATATATGCATATAAGCTCTTTGGTTTATTTCTTCCCAGCACCCCAACCCTCTTCCCTCTGAGGATTGTCAGTCTGTTTCTTACTTCCATGTCTCTGGATCTATTTTGATCAACAGCTTATTTTATTCATGGTAGTCCATAATTAAGTGAGATCATGTGGTACTTGTCTTTTTCTGACTGGCTTATTTTACTCAGCATAATACTCTCCAGGTCCCTCCATGCTGTCTCAAAGGATAAGAGATCTTTCTTTCTTACAGCTATATAGTATTCCATTGTATAAATGTACCACTGCTTTTTTAACCACTCACCTACTGATGGACACTTGGGTTGTTTCCAGATCTTAGCTATTGTAAATAGTGCTGTTATGAACATAAGGGTAAATATATTCTTTCTGATAGGTGTTTCAGGCTTCTTCGTATATATTCCTAGAATTGGAATCACTGGGTCAAATGGCAATTTCATTTTTAATTTTTTTGAGGAAACACCATATTGTTTTCCACAGTAGCTGCACCAGTCTGCATTCCCACCAGCAGTGTACTAAGAGCCCCCTTTTCTCCACATTCTCACCAACATTTGTTGTTTGATGATTTGTTGATAGCAGCCATTCTGGCAGGTGTGAGGTGATATTTCATGGTTTTAATTTGCATCTCTCTGATGATTAGTGATGTTGAGCATTTTTTCATATGTCTCTTGGCTATTTGAATGTGCTGTTTGGAGAAGTGTCTATTCAGGTCCTCTGCCCATTTTTAATTGGATTGTTTGTCTTCCTTTTGTTGAATTGTATAAATATTCTATATATTTTAGATATTAACCTCTTATCCAATGTATCGTTGGCAAATATGTTCTCCCAGAGAATGGATTCCATTTTCATTTTGAGGCTGGTTTCTTTTGCTGTGTAGAAGCTTTTTAGTTTGATGTAGTCCCATTTATTAATTTTTTCCTTTGTTTTTCTTGCCCTAGGCAATGTATCAGTGAAAATTCTGCTATGTGTGATGTCTGAGATTTTCTGCCTACACTTTCTTCTGGAAAATTTATGATTTCACACGTGACATTTCAGTCTTTTATCCATTTTGAGCTTATTCTTGTGTGTGGTGTTATTTGGTGGTCTAGTTTCATGTTTTTTCATGTAGCTGTCTAATTTCCCCAACACCATTTATTGAAGAGACTCTCTTTTTTCCATTGTATGCTCTTACCTCTTTTGTCGGATATTAATTGCACATAATTTCTTGGGTTGATGTCTGGGTTCTCTGTTCTGTGCCACTGATCTATATGTCTGTTCTTGTGCCAGTACCAGGCTGTTTTGATTACAGTGGCTTTGTAGTATAACTTGATATCTGGTATTGTGATCCCTCCCACTTTGTTCTTCTTTTTCAAGATTGCTGTGGCTATTGGGGTCTTTTTTGGTTTCATATAAACTTTTGGAGTATTTGTTAATCAAGGTAAAAGTTTAAAGCCTTTATTTTAATTTTATCGTTCATGTTAGTGACTTAGGAAGATGACAAAAAACACACTTAACAAGAATGTTGAATTTATGGTGTACATGGACAAAAAGATGCTTTAATTTTAATTTTATCTTTATTTTTATAACAGAAAATATTCTGATGTTTGCCTGGAGGAAAAATTCATATTTTGTTATCCTTCTTTGTAGATTCCTTGTACTTATTGCTGTCCCCATGCTTTCTTCCACATTCCACATGGGCCTAAATATTTCCAGATAATCTCTTTTTTATTCTCTCACGTCCAGC